TGAACTTCTTTGCAACAGAAGGCTTTAGTTGTCTCAGAAAAAAATATTAAAAATTAATCACCAACTTTTTTTAAGAATTATGCAAACCAAGGACTGCAATAAATAAAAAGGGATCTCACATTATGTATGTCAACGATAACTAATTACAAAGACCGTTCATTATATTTTAATTTCTTAGAAACCCCGTATGTCAAAACAAGATCAAAGGTTTCTTCTAAAAGTAAGTATATATCTCTGAAAACTGACGTAAACTCTCTAAAAATTATTTATCATAAGCAACATAATTTTGTTCTTTATGTCTTTATGTCCCAACTGTTATAATCAGGGTAGCTATCAAGAGTCTTTAGAAACTGCGAAATCAGTTTCAAGCATCAACAACGATGATATTTTCTGGAGAACACAACGTGACACAAACTGTCATTTTAAGTTTATGCCAGATTTTTTTTCTTTCTTTCTGTTGAAATTAATTAATTTGTTATACCAGTCGTCTCGAACTGGATGTCCTCGGTCCATATGCGGCTCTTGATGCTATTTTATGCGGCCTGCAAACACATTCCAATTACATACTTGTTGCAAATACGGTATTGCAAAGATTTTTAAGATTTTAGTTATTTAAAGTTAAGGTTTATATTATTTTTATTTCCAGTAAAAACGCACATGAATAACCCACTAGAAAATCTATAAATAGAGCTAATTAATTAATTAATTTACAGTATGATATAAAACTTATTCAAAGTTTTGAAAATACGTATTTTATTAAATTTTACTCGTACTTATGAAATGTATAAGCCAAGTTAATTTTACACTGGAATAGTCGCTTTGTTTGGGAATACATGTAAATGAGAACATATTTCCCCTTATTTAAAAATTAATTAGAAAAGAGCCAGATTGACAGAAGCATCTACAATTCCCGACGAAGATTGTTTCTAATAATTTCTCTTCAAGGCTACAAACTTTAAGAGAAACGAAAAGACATTAAGTATCAAACTATAGTAAGAAATAAACAAATTTATAATTATTAGTGCAACGGGCAGTTTACCCAGAAGTTTTGCCATTTTGCGTTGGTTCACTATAAACTGCGTTTTCCTTTTGAAATTGTCGACGCCAAATATGAGAGCCCTGCATTATATTTGAAGAAATTAAATAATGAAGAATCTGCATGCATGTATGTATGCTTATCGCATTTGAACAAACAACGGTACCTAAAGACATCAAATTTTCAATAACATAGTCTTCCAATCTAATATGGGTATCTGGAAGCCCAGATTTGGAATCTAGAATTTCTTTTATTATCTACTTCATATTTTTTATAAAATTCTAAATAAAATATTAACAAATTTGTCATTAACAAACTCAATGATTTGAAAGCGAGCAATGGCAACATTATACGGGAAAAAAAACATTTTTATCTCCAGCGCTCGAGACTGTGTATCGGAAATTCTAAAGATATACTCTTTTTAAATTTTTTTGTGATTTTGCTGTTTTATGTGTTTTGTGAATTGGATTTTATTGTTTAAGTACGAAGAACATCATATTTAATAAAGGTAACTTATAAAACGTTAAAATAACCTCCCTTTGGCCGTATTATAAAATCTGAAATTTTTCAGATTATTTTTAGATATTTTAAATGTTTTTTTATTTTTGCGTCAAAAATAATTCAATGAGTAGCAGAATGATTCTGGGTTGATATTATTTTTTTTTTCAAATGTTGTCCCATTTGATAAATTTTCTTTGAAAATATAGAAACTTTTTATATTTTTTTAATTTTTAATTTGAATTAGTATTTTTTATTGATAACATAAACACTTTAGAATTTTTTTAAAGAATCGTCAGTCTAAAATTTTAATATTTAACTGCCAATATAACTGAATTAAAAGTGCAGCCAACAAAAATATCTTACAGGTACCAAAAGTTTCCTTTCAAACTTTTAGATTTAAAAAATATAAATTTGAATTTTTCTGCTATGCGATATTATAGTCATTGTGTATGTATAATCATTAATATTTAGTAAGCTACATTTAAATCTTATTTATAGTATTTTATGATTTGTTAAAAATTTTCATTTTGATGAAAAAGTATGTCTGCATCTACTCTGCTGTTTTCATCAGATCGTGCATTTGGCTTGCATGTAATTTGAGTTTACAATTATTGTATTGTACAATTTGAATTAACATATTATAGGAATAATATTCAAAAATCGGTATGAAAGTATCATATGCATGTAGTAAAGGTTTAATAGGTAATGCATAATAAAATTTCGGCATAGCCTAGTGTGAGATTTAGAGCAAAAGGAAACATTTAAAAGTGGATCATTTTTGGAAAAGTTTGAGTCTTATTAACGATGCGAAGAACTACTAAATCTAAAGAGAAAGCGAGACTTAAAATACAATCTGTGTAAATCTCTCCAGTTTAGTGCTGAATTTGGAAAACAAGCTTTCAAGTGTACCTATTGTTTTGCTATTTGCTATATGTTAAGTACAATAAGCTTTTCTATTATTGAACTGTGTTAGTATTAAAGCATATGCTTTATACAGAGTCACAAGAAAAGATTACCAAGATTTTGGGATCATATTTATAAACACACGAAAATATAACCTCCAAGCAGCATTTGACCTCCAGTCACATCCAGAGTTTTGGAATTTAAATTTGTAGTGCGTGTTGTGATACTGACGGTCAAAATGTTTTCACGTACAATATTTTAACATATTCCAGCAAAAAGATATCCACCGCTATTAAAGCGCATCCTCAACATTTAAATATTCTATAGGAGCTCATTAGAAAGATTTAACATTATTTGTAAACTGATCAGCATTTTTAATGAATGCTTGTACCACAACTATTTTCATAGGTTATGGTAATATGCAAAAGTCATTTTGATTCCGAAGCCTGGTAAGGATCACAATAAACCTGACGGTTATCGGCCGATCAGTTCGCTACCAATGCTAGGAAAAATCTATGAAAGAATTATCTTATCATGCATGCAACCTTATCTTAATTTACTACCTCCTGAACAATTTGGTTTTCGAGCCAAGCTTTCGACGACCAGTAGTACGGATTTCGGAGTTTGCTGACTCAGCGCTCTATAATAAACAGTGTGTTTCTCTCCTCATGCTCGACGTGGCGAAAGCTTTCGACTGCATCTGGCATGAGGGAATTATCTCAAAACTGATCTCCTGTCACTTTGACAGAGAGTTATTACTTACGATACATTCTTTCGTCACGAACAGGACTTTTTATGTTTGTGTAAATGGTTCTGACTCCTGCAAAAAGATTCCTTCTCTTGAACAGTGGTTGAACAATGGAAAATCCAAATTAATTCCTCAAAGTCACAACTCTTGATCATTCGGAAACGCAAAAGGAACGCTCCAATTAAAAATAGCTATCTTTATTCAACGAAATTGTTCCAATGGTTTCCCAGGCCAAATATCTTGGTGTTTTATTTAACGACCGTCTTATTGGACATATCATATTAATAATGTGCGTGACAGGGCACTTAAAATCATCAAATGCTTATACCCAATTATTGGGAAATATTCGTCACTGGACCTGAACAAGAAGAGACTTATTTACCTCTCTGTTATCAGACCAGTCATGGCTTAACGCTTCATGACTTACGCTGGCACGAACATCTATCTCCGATAAGTAACTTAAGAAGCTTTCAAGTGGTGCAAAGCAGATATCTTCGCATTATTACAAATGGCCCACTTATATGTGCGTAACAAATGTCTTCACGACGACCTTAAGATCGAACCGTTGTCGAACTTTCTCAACGAACTCAATGAACGCTTCTATTACGAAGCACAGAATGCAATATAATGAAACACTTTGAACTTTTCAGCTACGAGATTCTTCACGAGGACCGTCATCTTCGCCCGTTTGCGACTTGCTTGCTTAGCGATAACCACAGTTTTCCTACATAGAGCTTTATTGTGCTTTCGCATCTGTGCTCTGTCCAAAATCAACGTTGATCTGTGATATTTTAATTCGCGATATTTTGAGTCTCTGTAACGTATTATCTCGTGGATTTATTTACCGACTTGTGCAAAATCATTCCCATTTAATCGGTAATAATATTCAGTGTTATATCAATGAATCAGCACTGTAGCAGTATTAATCAATGTTAATATCAGTATTATATCAGCGTTTTATCAGTTCTGCATCTGTCATATTTGCATCAGTAATGTACCAGTAATATATCTTGAATATTACTCTGTAACATGTTATTTTATATGTCTTCTCGTGCACGTTGAATAACTTTCAGGTGGCATTATGTATTTTGAAGGGGTTGCTATAGATAGTGGTGGACGTGGTGCTATACTAATTAATCGTTTGATAAGGGGATAGTGTCCACGTCCTCCGTTCTCTCTCTCTCTCTGTCCAAAATCTCCATTGAATATGTGTTTATAGCATGATTTTTTACTTCATCCTCATCACTCATTTAATGCAAAGCAAACAGTTGTAAATATTGCTTATATAGCCTTTCAGTTGAGAAAAATTTGTATTTTATGTATCATATCTTTTCTTCAGGACTCACTTAGGCATTTCTGTCTTTTAATCGCTACATGAAGCTCCCAAATGAAGATAGCCAGCATACAGCTTGCAGCTTTGCAAGCTAGACGCGGCGGCAACGGCAAATAGAACGAAACGGATTAGAAAGACCAAGAGATTGGTTCGCCCTTCCTTACCCACGCATAAAGCAAATTCGCATTTAACTATTTGAATCAGCTTTTGTCACATTGCACCATTTGAATCCATTTATCCATTTAATGAGCTTAACTTTTTGGCATAACACATTTTATAATCCTGGAGTCTTTTTTTTCCCTTGAACATTCATTTTTATATGAATGCTGTAATAAACCTATGTATATATATATATATATACTATATATATAGTTCTATCATACTCAGATTCAAGATAATGTATTGAAAGCATGAAATTACTGTGAGTTTAAAAAAAAAGAAATCTTATAGTCAAAAGGTGGGGGAAAATGTATACTTACTACATTCGAGTATACTGTGGTCGGACACAGGAAACATTTTGGCTGAAAAAAAAATTTAATTTTTAAAATGGTGATTTAAATTCGGAATTTAATTCAATTTTAATTTAATTTCAACTCAATTCGGAAAAAAAAGAAATTTTAATTCAATTCGGAAACTAATAAAATATTACATAATTTATATTTAGGATGATAGATAGATACGTAAATAGACAAAGAATAGAGTTGAATAGAGTTAATACATGAAGCATGTATTAACTCTATTCAACTATAAATTCACCTTGAAAAAGTAAATGATGCCCGCCGTCCAACAGATATTCTAGAATGTGCTCTTAAGAAGGAAAAGGTTGGAGACAATTGCTCTAATGCATGTATTTTTAGAAATAACAACGAAAGCCATAGAAAAATTTAAATATGGGAAAAAATTCAAAATTGAAACAAAACTTATAAATCAGTGCGATGTTTAAAAAGAACGAAAGCAGCAAGAAAAGAAAATTTCTTTTCAAAATTAAGTAATAATCAACAAGGAATGTGAAAAGAATGTTTTAAAATTAAAATAGATAATTAAATTGAGATATTATTCCTCTTTTTTCTTCTCCGCTGATGGTAAAATTACAGCAAATCTTTAACACAAGGAAAGTGCACAAACGAAATGTTGAACTTATTTAAAGCCGTGATTTTGAAATATCTTTTGCAAATTTTACATTGCTTCTACCTGCTCCGTGTTGATCCGTAACATAAATATTTCCTTTTCATTCCTATCTTTAACTCTAATTTTTGTAATAAAAAACATACTGATTCCAAATTACTCATTTTTTCACACTGTTACATATTTATTATTGCATTGTTAAGTTTAAAAATGTATCAAGAAAAATATATATTTCTTGACCATGAGGTTATTTATTAAAAATGTTACGTTATGGTGCAATGGCAGCAAATCTCAGAATCTCAGAATATATTGTGCTCAGGTAAACAGGAAGTTTTTTTTTTGACATCCTATTTGCAATGTCTGTTTGGTTAGAGTGTCTATAATATAGTCTTTCATTTTTCATCACCGTTACTGTTAGAGATAGCTTTCCACCTTTAATGTAGCAAGGATTAAACGTGACTTCCGAACTTCCCTCACGTTATCTTGTTACAAGTAAAAAAAAAAAAATTTAAAAATTGTAGAATTCAGTTCAGTTTTTACCTCATAAGCTGTTAAAAACGAAAGTCTGTTCTTCAGAAATTTTTCTGCTTTCTTTTAAGATCTAGTTTCTTTGGTTATTTGTTGCTGAATTAGCGCGTGCGTCCTCACATCCAGGGGGTTAAACAATATTCAAAACACTCCGAATGTCCTTGACCGTGTAGTGTATTTGAACGGTGTGTCTATGGTTTGTTATTGTAAAGGCAGTAGCATATTGTTGTAGCAATATTTAATTTAGAATTTAAATAACCAGCATCTACAGATACCTTGTTCGATGTGATTTTTTCTTATCAGTTACGAAGCGTTACGCTCCCACCGCATTAATCAGCATCGCAATCTCACAAACAGACGATTCTGAGATTTGCTGCCATTGCACCATAACGTAACTTTTTTAATAAATAACCTCACGGTCAAGAAATATATATTTTTCTTGATACTTTTTTAAACTTAACAATGCAATAATAAATATTTAACAGTGTGAAAAAATGAGTAATTTGGAATCAGTATGGTTTTTAATAAGTTATGTAATTAGCAATAATAAAATTATCATTACCATCATTTCTAATACTTTATACAGCTCTTAACTGAAAATGTTTATAAGTATTTTATAATATTAGTGCTATAAAGTATTTTCTCCCTCCTTCCAGCATGCCTTTGTGGTGTAACGGTAGTACACTCGATGCATATTCGAAAGGTCCAAGTCCGGTTTCCAGAGAGAGCTTTGCTCATATTTCACAATTCCTACTTTGAAAAAAAAACTCATGACTTTAAAGTGGTCCCGAACTAAAAGGGGGTGGACAATTAATTCCTCGCCACCAGAATTCGGCGAGTACGTCCCCTAATCCCCAGTCACGCTTTCAAAGGGGGTGGGTATATAAGGTATTTTCTCCCAGCATGTCTTCGTGGTGTAACGGTAGCACACTCGGCGCGTATTAGAGAGGTCCATGTTCGAATCCTGGCAAGGGCTTTGCTCATTTTTCATGTCTTCTAATTTAAAAAACTTAATGACTCTACAGAATAAACAATAAAAGATGTATCTAACTCTATGCAAAGTAATCGAAAATATGGTTGTAGATTTCCTTAAATATTCATCCGCGACATATGCTTCTAGTTCCTGTAAATAAAACCAGTTTCGGCACACGAGGTAAACATTTATAGCACTCGACGTCCGTGAATTCAAAAATTCAACTTTTATATAATTTCCACACAGAAAACATGTCTATTTTGTAAAATTTAAATTATATTAATTAGTTCAATGCCTGACAATCTGCAATTTTATGAGCGAAATTTTCGGAGATATCGAAGACCAATCAAAAACTAAGGCTAATGAATATTCATTAGTATCTGTATTTATATTGTGTAGTTGCCAACTTTGTTTTTTAAATTTATCTTTTTATTCTTTTGAATTTATTAAACTTTATTTCTCTTTAGTATTTACTATTTTTTTACGTGTCTGCATGCTTATATGGATGTCGGCTGCAGTCTTTTAAAAATATTCACTATTGTTGACCAGTCAATTTCTTACTTAGTTTATATACGGATGAGGGTGAAAACTGTTAAAAAGAAAGCAGTTTCAATCCATTGTAACCGGTAAACGTTATAAGCAAATTCAGGACCAGTTTTCAGAAATGCTAATGTTTCAACAAAATCATAAATTTCTCGCATTCGAATATAATGCTATTTGAAATAAGCTTTAACCAAAAGCATGTAATAAATCGTTCGTATACATGTAACAAGAAAAACCTCTCTGAGAAAATATCTGAAATTATGAGCTTATAATTAATTCTAACACCAGGTTTCGCTCTAACACTTTTAGTGCCCTAGGCGAAGTCGTCTTATGTAAATTTAATATTCAAAGCAAAATGTACAGAGGAGCCCGAGATAAGCCAAACTTAAAGTAAGTGAAGAACACATGAACTGCAAGGCTATATTGTATAAGATGTCCCACGATAAATCGAACCGGTCCTTGCTTTGTATTCGATTTATCTTGGGCCTTGCGATGCTTTTACTAATTGTTGCTCGTGAGAACTACTTAGTTCGTGAGAACTACTTACTGCTCGTGGCCCTCTCATACTCCTATGTGCCTTTGTCACCTATGCTGTCCAGTCAGTCCTATCTAGCAAGCAATTAATTACAACAATTATGTATCAAATTGTAAATACAATGGGTTTTTAAAGAAAAATGATCACCATATTCGTAGTTGTTTCTGTTTTCAATAACGAAGTTCAGATACCGCATTGCCAATAGGTCGTAAAGTGAAATATAGCCAATTTAATTTCTTATGTTAAATTGATTTTCATCTAATAGGCAATTAACGCTCCACAGGATCCAAAAGAAACATGTTGATTGTATATGTGTGTTATTTAATATTTCTTATGAACCATGTCTCTTGTTAATGGCAAATAATTTAGATTAATATACATGTGTCCTGGTAAATGTCACTGAAATTCGGCGACATTAAGTATTGCTCTCCAAGTCTCAGCATCGTATATTTTAGCCCATTTCTTTATCTCAGTCAGTAAGAAGTGTGCAGACATATTAATTAAACAGAAATGAAAGATAATTTTAAGCAAACTTATAAACACATATAAAAAAGAAGTTGTATTTGTTTATTTTTTTAACAATGAATAATTAAAGATCCCAAATAATAAAGGATACTTTAAATGCTAAATATGTTTTCACATAAAATGCAAGAGTTCCAGTAGCTTTAAAATGTTAAATTTCTTTTGCAACATTTTAACGTATCTAAATCATATTATGTGAGTTCTTCACAGAAAAACTGCAAATGAACAGAATTTATAAAACTAAAGCTTAAACCGTAAATCGGACATTTAACTATACACAGAGTAAATAATGGCACATTTTAGCTGCCATTGTAATGTTTTCTCAATATGTACTACAAATGTTAGGTGAAATTAATGCTATTGACTCAGAGTTTATTTCTCTGTAGGTGCTGTATTGGCAAGCAAAATTATTTATTTCCATAATTTAACGTATTTTTTTCAATTAAATAACAAAAAATATTACCTCTTCTGATATAAATAACTTCAGTTACATACTTTTTAATTTTTATGAGAAAATGATTGCCTTCATGGAAGGTTGTCTAAATATACCATATTTATTTAAGAAAGAAAATGCACTCAAGACCTATGGGTTTTAGATGAAAAAAAAACCTTCAGGGCGGATTTTCAAAGATAACCTCTTCTTATAAACGTTACTTTTTAGGAAAAACTTAAAAATCTATACGCTCAGCCCATTCATTTGCGATAACATATTCTGTGGGAGGCTACTAGTGTTTAGGAACCTTATCTGATAATCGTGCGGTGATGGGAATTCGAAAATACGGGCAAATATTCATAAAAAGGCTCATGTATAGCATACAGATTTCAACCTCTTATCCTTCTTCAAGTTTACTTTGCAATCTCCCACTTTCTTTGCAAGCATAAACTAAACTAGAGACTCAGTCTGAACGTAAGCGACTTACCGCTATGTCCAGTAATCAGAAATAGAAACGTACTGAGTATGCAAAAGACCCTTTTCTTAAACTCAGTAGCTTAACAGAAGGTATTTCTTGTGCTTACAAAACCAGCCGCCATTTATGGCGTAACTCAAAAAGTAATGAATTGAAACTAAAGCTAAGTTATGTGAGTCATAAGATAGCCAGAGGCTATACAGAATGAATAACGCGCAAGTGGGCTCAAACCTAATATAGTTCAACCGCATCATCCGCGACAATGAGCGCAAATACGCATGCGCCATTCGGACCGAATTATACTCAAAATAGATTGAAAAGATGGTGACTTTCTTTCCCTTGAACATATAAATTCTCTTTTTCCAAAGAAGAGAAGGCTTTATGGGATTT